AACTAAAAAATATTTTAATTTCTTTTACTTAAAAACGTTATTTTAACATAAAATGTTCATTGTTATTTATTTAAACTTGAGTGACGGTAAGAAACTCAAAGGGCAATAAATATTACTTTGAATTACACAAGTAAAAATTAAAAAAAGAAATAGTTTATATTATATTAAAACCAAATTATAAAAATAACTGTTTGACTGCATAAAGGCAAGTCGAACTGGTGCAAATGGTACTAGAAAAATAATAAATATGTGAAAGGTTATACAATTAATTACAATTTGCATTTTATTGCTCATTGAAGAGGTAAAAAGTGGTAACTAATAACAGTCAAAGTTCCCTATATGCGCAGATGTGTGCGGCCACCCAGAAGAATTTGAAAAGTTGTACACAAATTTTCAAAACCATATCACAATTTTTTTTAATAATAACTAAAGAGCAATGTTATTTGTGATTTTTAAAAATTCAAGATTTTGAAAAGGCAAATGATATATATCTTAACTTCAAAATATTTGCTTACAATATCTATTATATTTTCAGGTTTGCTTAATTTTCTTTGTTAAGAAAAATTTTACCCACCAATAAGGTTGCAAAAGTTATATTTTCACACAATAAAACATTAAAATGAATAAATAAATGTATTACTTATGAAGTAATTATCATATAAATATTATTCCAATGTTTGACATATTAAAAGTAAACATAAGGTATTAACTAAACATGAGTTCTTTTTATCTGATAACATGTATCTAAAAAATGAAAATACATGCATTGACAATAATAATATTCATCAAACTTTAAGTTTGTTGTTGACCCCTCAACTTTATTATTATTTGAAAAAAAAAGTCAATGCATGCGAAATTGTTTTCATGTATAACCATAATATAAATTAGTAGAAAATTGTAACTTGAAAATGAATGCTTTTTGCATATTTTCAATAATAATGAAATAAAATACCAAAGAAAAGCAAATTACAAACTTATTTTTTGTTTGTAAAAGTTCGTTGCACAGCTATTTGTTATCTGGGCAGCATAAAAAAATTAAATTAAAGAGGACATTGTTTGAAGTAAACATGATACTCCTTTACTCAGTAGAAAAAAATCTCCAGCATGAAAGTAAATAATCATAGCTTCTTCAGGATTTTTCATTTTCAAATACAGATATTTTTTAATAGTAAAGAGCAAATGGTGAAAAAAATTGTAAGCATGAAAAACTGAGAACAAGGTTAAAAAAAATAATTGATAGGGAAGAAAGGCACTAAATGTTTATTACTCTAGCCAGCTATAGTTTTATTTGTCTGCAAAGTATCCGTGATTGAGTGGTAATTAATTTTCATTGAAGAAACTTTGAATAAGCACAATTCAGAGCACTATAAATTACAATGCTGTTTATATTTTCCTTTAAAATCAAAAGATTTTTTTTAAATATTATCACCTGCAAGTTTATCATTTCATTATTAAGCTTAGTATAAGCATGTCTTTTTTTTCTTCACCATATGAACAAAGCAAAAGTATGAATAAAATTCCAATTAAATTTAAACAACATAAAGTTTTTGTGAATTACTTTATTATATTAAATATTAGCAAATTGTGCTCAATATGTCTTTGATTAGGCTTAATTTTTACAATAATAATCTCTGCCAGAGTGTGTTAAAGTCACAGACAAATTGGATTCTGCGAAGGTAGTGCAGCAGATAGGCTTGGTAAATTCTGCAAATGGGCATCTTTATAAGAGGCAGACATGGTTTGAAATGAGCACAATTTAGAAGTTGCACCCTCCCTTCATACACTTTAACTGATTTTTTTAACTATAAAACTATGATAAGTTTGCAATAAAAGAAATTTTCAGTTTGCAATAAAATAAATATTTTTGATTTAAGCCTTTTGTTTCATATTATACTAAATACTTTAATAATTTGGTGCGAAATCTTTTTAGAGGCAATTACTATTAAATTTTGTTTAGTATTTCACACAAAGAACTAGTATCAGACAACATTTTGAAATATTAAGAAATCTTTATTTACATAAATATTTAATTTAATAAATCAAAAGTTTTAATTCAAAATGTATTTAAAAAAAATTATACTTTATTGTATATTATTTTCTCTGCCATTTTATTGTAAACTGTAAAAGCATCACTTTTGAACTACTACAGTGTTTATGTTGAGCTTCAAGACAATATGTAAGATGATAATTATACTTCAATTACGACAAAACGTTTGAATTTTTTTTTTTAGTTTATCAAAAACAATGTTTAACAAGAAATTATTTCCATGTGGGAGGTGAAGTACATACTTTCAAAAACTGCAACAACATAATAAATTAGTATAGCATTCTGGTAACAGCCCATTGTGGGCCAAGTGGGTCATGGAGGATAAGTCTTCACACTTTGGTGACCAATGGCATGATTGCCGCAATTTAATCAGTACTGTGCACATGCCGCCTTTACTTCCCAGATAAGCTTCACAATGACAGCTCAGTGCCTTAACCACTGGGTCATTGAGGCTCTAACATAATAAATTACTTAACATAACTGATGAGCAGAAAACAGTGATTTCAATTATATTAAACATATTACAAATAACATATAAATAATTAAAGGGGATGAAATAAATATCAAGCATACTATGCATAAAAACCTTATAAGCATAAAAATAAATAAATGCAAAATTAACACTACAAATAATGTGGAATGCAGATTAATGTACTAGGAACCAACTATATTTGCTTTAGGCTCACAATTTGCTAGCCTAAATATGTAATGAAAATTACAAACTTTTTATGGTTTGCAGCAAATTTTTATAAAATTAGTCAAAATGGTAATACTATATTAGACACATGCTGCAGTGGTCTACATACTATGTACAAGCTAGTTTGTACCACATCATGCTTATATATATATGGTACAAGTATTAATAAATAATCTAAACAAAGGAATGCCTAATTAACTAGTATGGAAATAAAAACTTAAAATTGGAACTACAAGCAGCAACTTATAAGCTTTTGAAAAAATATTCCACAACTTTATGATATTACATACATATCACAGAATTTATACAGGATGACTTTTTAACCAGCTGAATAAGCAACAGCTGTGAGTTTTCAAGTTTATTTTATCCAAATTATAACTTAAGTATGTGAATAAATATAAAACCGTCTACAAGAAATGATTTTAATTTATAAAAAACCATGAGAGCTGAAGTAAACATTCTGTAATTTTTTAAAATGTAAAAAATTTGATTAAACGCAATATATATATGCACGCAACAGATCAAAAAAGTAAAAATAGTTACGTTCAATATCTTTTAAAAGTTGTCCAATGGAACAAAACTCGATCTTTCACCCTACCACTCAGCGGGCAGGAACAACTTTGAAATCTTAAATATGAATTCCCATTATTTATTGCAGAATCAGAGCAAAAAGTAATCCTATTTGAGATGCAGGTTTATGCATTTTGTTTCACAAATGGAACTAAGAAAAATGCAATAGGGTATAAGCTGCTTAAAATGGCGAATCTAGAGATCCATCAGATTAAGAAGATAAAAATAAACAAGTTGAATTAATTTCTTATTAATTCTTTTATTTTAAAAAACACTGAAACATTTTTTTAGTTTTATTTATTATTATTTTTAATCTAATGGTCTCGAGCTACCACCATTTTTAACAGTTTGTACGCTTTTTAATTTTATCGGTTACAGCAGCATCTGTGAAACAAAATGTAATGCATAAACTTACCAACTCATATAGGGTTACATTTTTCTGGAGAATCTGAATCTGCAATAAAAAATAGGGGTTCTAATTTAATATTTTAAAGTTGACCCCCCGCCTTGCCCTGGGCTGTTGTGGTGAAAGAGCGAATAGACTTTCAGTTGAAGACTTTAAAAAAAAAATTGTTTGTGTCCAGTTTCGCTTTTTGATTTAATGTATATTTTTAAAGATATTTGACAGTTTTCAAACCTTTTTTACACTATATAAAATAATCAGGCACTGTACCATGTAAATATTATGATTATTTCAGTTTAATATGCAAAATATAAGATAAATAATATCATGTTTTCATTTTAAGACTTTTTTGCACAATAAAGATACAATATTTAAGATAATTTTAAACTATATCAGGCATTTTTAATATTATGAATACTAAAAATTTATAAACATATAAATAAAGAATACAGTTTCAGAAAACATGTAAAAAAATGAATAAATTTAAATATTTCATAACAGTAGTTAATACAGATAAAAAAATATTACACATTTACATATAAGTAGGGAAAATAAAATATTGGACATAACTAACTGAAATACATTTAATCTATGCAACACAGGAATTCTTTTTTTTTTTTTTAACAATAATATTTCTCTACAAGACAGAAAAAACTCAATTATTTTTCAATCCCAATATTGTGAAAATAAATTTGATGCGATAATTACATTACACGTAAATTATGCAGTAGAAGTCAAGTAACTGCTACTTTTTCTTTAATTAGTGAGACAACTTTTAAACAACTATAGAAACAAAAAAAAAACAACGTTTATTAACAAAAATAATTAAAAAAAAACAATTATATTTTTCATCATTATGAATAATAGGAGTGCATAAACTTTTTTAGAACGACACAAAAAATAAAAAAAATAAAAGATTTGTCTTTTGCAGGTGTAATAAATTTAGTTCTTTTTTCTTATTAATTGATAATAATTATTCCTTGGTATACATAGAGCATTTACAATTAGTCAGAAAAATAAAATATTTTTGTATTTTAAACAATTAAAATTTTGTACAGATTGTCTTTGTTAATAACACTAAATAATAGCAAATTTTCAACTAAGAGGAAAAATTAATTTTATTTCCTATTGCGAATATAATTTATGTCTTAAAATAGATCCCTAGAACTAGGTTTTCTAACATATCTCAATTAAATAAATACTTTAAAAAAATTAATTCTTGGTTTACAAGTGTACATTAATGAGTCAAGGCTCCTGAGCTGGGTNCAATTTCCGCTTTTTTCGTTCTAGTTTAAAATGGCGGGAAAATCGAGCAAAATTTTCCCCGGTTTTCTGGTTTCCCGGTTATCTGGATACCGGATAAATAGTTCTCTACTGTATTATTAAAAAGCTTACTTGAAAAAACTTAAAAAGTATACTTTGCGAGAATTAAAGAGTTTTTACTTAAAAAAAGTCCTGAATCGTTTTTTGTTTGACATAACTTTGGTACTTTTCTGCAGCAATGTTTCGCCATTTTTTAGGGATAACAGGAAGGCTGGTGTCGCCTCTTTTTGTTGTTCTATGTATTCAGTAGCATTTTCGACAGCTTTAAGTTCATCTGTGTCAGAGACTTTTAAATGTTGATTTTCACCGTCACTGTCTTCATCTTCGCTAGGTTCATTTTCATTATTGACGATATTAATGATCATTTCATGGGATCAAGTTGTTAGATTTTGTTTTCCTGAGCGTTTGGAAGATAAAATTCCGATTTATTTTTCTGCGGTATTTTTAAAAATAAAAAATAAACTAGAACAAAAAAAAACCTTAAAATATTTGATAGCTCGGTTAAAGCGGAAACTCGGATAACCAGGGCTCGGATCATCGGGACTCTACTGTATATTAAAAGTATTAACACTCAGAAGTCAATAACAATAAAAATTTCAATTATGTTGTATGTTCATTAAAAAAATTTTTAAAATGACAATATGAATGCATCATGGATTGTCTTGCTTTAAAAGAAAAAAAAATCATTAGTCATGTAGAAATATAAGTCGTCTTATCAGAAATAAGGTTATTCATCTTAGGTTTTCGCAAATGACACATTTGGAAGCACATTTCTTTTTTGACTTCTGGTATCTAAATCTATTAACTCAGGAGGGATTGGTTCTTAATGAAGAGAAAAATTAAGTGGAAATGTGACAATCTATTATCAAAAAAGATAAAACAATTAAATAAAAAGGGATAATTATTGGGTGATTCTGCAATACTGCAAAAGAAAACAAAAAAAAAAATTTCTGAATTTTTTCACAATAATTAGACGGTGAATCAATGGCACAGATAGTAATTTTGTTGACACATAACAAATGACACTCTAAATTGAATATTACAAAGCTTAAACAAATAGTTTTTCAATTTTCTATGAATGATAATATTTCACTTTATTGCATAAAATTTGCTATACATTTCAATTATCAGATCAAAATTCATTCACCTGAGATACACTTTGTTTTGAGAGTGACTTTGTGTTTATGGATTTATGTGCTGCAAATATAGGAAGACAGGCCAGGAAAAAAAACTTAAATATGATAGTTTTAAAATGAAAAATAAATAACAGCAAAGTATTTTGGTGCAATTTAACAGTAGACATAGAAAAAATTTGAAAATAATTATTCATTAATATTGCAAGTCTTAGATGAGATAACAACACACTAACAATATAGTTATCTTAGAAAACAATATATTTTTGAATATATATACTGAGACATATATAAAAAAAAAGTCATTTTTTGATGAAAAATTGACTATGTAAAGTTCTAAATTAAAAACAAAATAAAGATAAATTGAAGTTGTCACCAGGAAAATACCACATACAACAAATTTTCACATTTTTAAGAGTTATTGAAAATTAATAACAATTAAAAATGTATACAATACAAAAATTATCAAAAGAATTAAATTCAAATTCAATCTATAAAAAATACATACATTCAGTTTTTGATATGAATGTGAAGTTAAATTTTAACAACCTTTTTTACCATAATGATAATTAAATGAAATCATTATTTCTCCTTTGAGCAAATGGCACCATTTCAGATTTAAGTATTGATAGGTAATTTTGTGATAAAATCAAGATAGTTTTTTTGCTAGTTTTGAAATTTCACAGTCAGTACTGGTAAATTCTACAGCACAACATCTTGGAAACCATCCTTTAATTTCATCTTTACCTATAAAATAAATATTTTCAGTATGAAATCGTTTTACTAAAATTAAAAATTAAGTTCATAATCAAACAATATTTTGTTACAAAACTAATTTTAGCAATTTACTATTTTCTTCACTTTGTTGATGAAATAAATTTTAAATCATTGCTTTATGGATTAATACTTATTCTATCTCTCCCCCCCCATAAAAATGGTAAAATTGGACTGCATTTCTGTTATTAGTGATATCAGTATGTCAAGTTTGCCTGAAAATGAAAGCATTGGAGTTTGCAAGGTTTTGAACAAAATAGCAAAACACAAAGCAAATGGGCAAAATACAAAAATACTGAGAAATTCACAACAAACAACAATACAAGTAATAATATTACTTAAACTAATATAAAATGTAAACTAATTAAACTAATAAATATAATTTTTTAAAAATATGTTTAAAAAAATACAAATGATTTTAAAAACAATTGGTTTATGCTTTCTGTCATAAGTTTTCTAAAATTAGATATTGTAAAGTAGTTGAATATGGAGAACATTAAAATAAACAGTTAGAAAAAAAAACAGATAAAAATTGAAAATACAGTAAAAAATTTTATTTTTCAGTTGGATCTCACATTTGAAAGGTTTAAAAAAAATTATGCAATTCTAGAACATATATAGTTAACTAGTTTCAGAATAACAGGTATTATACATTGTAATAAAATTTCTGTTGTTTTTGTCAGTAAATTTCACATATGTTATGCCCGAAACCCAATATAAACGAGTAAGCACTAGTTAGAACCATTTTAGGACATCAAAACAGTAACTTTAGGAAGCACATAATAAGGAATTTGATCAGACCTTGTAGAAATTATTTTAGAAGAAATTCACACCTCATAACAGACCCTTAAAATTTTTTTCATTGTTGAAGTAGATTCATCACAAAATAGTTTATTGTTAAAACAGAACTTTTGAGAAATATTTAATCATTAAAACAAATCCTTCATAAATTATTCTACAACAAAAACAGACCCTTCACAAGATTTCTTATTTTAAAAATGAACTCTTCCCCAAAAGTCCACTTTTGAAAAATAGAGTTTAGGGCAGCTTTAATTGATAAATTCAAAGCTAACATTCTTTGAAAGGCAGGGTTTTTGAGTTTATTTTACAAGAACAAGACTCTGACAGAAAAAAAAATCCCATTCCACCATGAGTATATACGTTCAGAAAATAAATATATTTTTTACTAATTCACAAAAACAGGACTGGTTTTGTCAATGCCATCTTTAATTCCATCATTTAAAGCTAAAACTCCTTGAAAGAAAAGATTTCAATTTTTTTTTTTAAATAAAAATAAGGTCTTAATTTCCATGTAATCACAGAAACAGGACTCTGACAGAAAACCCCCATTTCACAGTGATTATAGATTCAGAAAATGAGTCCATTTTTTTATAAATTCACAAAAACAGGACTAGTTTAGTAAACGCCGTCTTTAATTCACACATTTAAAGCTAAAAAGGTTTGATTTAATATGACAATATTTTAATTATTTTGAGAATAGTCCAAAACATGAAAAAAGGTAGAGAGCAACATGTGTGATTTCAGAAGTCATATGAATATGCATTGCAATTTAATATCGAAAGAGCAACTAATTACTTACTAAATTAATTATAAAACAACGTTAATAATCTCCATTGCATTAAAAACATAATCTCAATTTAGAACATTTAAATTGCCTATAATTTCATGAATATGTACCATTGTGTAGACTTCCAAAAAAAAAAACACGTTAATTTGGAATAAATTCTTTTTGAGACAGATAAGTAAGAAATGTTAGATAGATTTGTAATAATTTGCACTTAATGACCCAATTCATATGAATCCAAATAATGATATAGTACAGAAAGTCATTTATTTTATAAATACCTGTAGTTTAGTATCATTATTTTTTAAAATCTTTTGTAATATTTTTAATGCATTTTGACAGAAGCAATATTATGAGAGATTATCAAATTTATAAAAAAATTAAAAGCATAAAAAGTTCATAGTATAAGTATAAATGAAAACACAAGACAAATAATAAAAAAAATTTCTGAAAATTAATTACACATTTGTCCCCCCCCCCCAAATGTTAAGCTTTTAATTAACTCGTAAAACATTTACCATCGCTTAGTTCTACAATGTGTAAAAATAATAAAAACATCTGAAATAAGCTAAATATCTGAAATAACGAGAATATCTGAAATAGTCTTGATACATGAAATAACATCATATTTATAAACAAATTAGAAGTATAAAAAGTTCTTATTAAAATTATAAATAAAAAAAAATTGAAAATACAGNCACAAAAATCTAATTACAAATAATCTTTTTTTCAAACTTCAAGTTTTTAATTAAATAATAAAAAGTTTGCCATCACATATATCCATAATGTTTAAAAATAAGTAAAATATTTGTAATAAGTTGAAGACAATTGAAAGTAAATTTCTTCTTATATAAAAACTCAAATAATTTAGAAAGAAAAAACTAAATACACAGAAACATATCAGCAGCACAGAATCTCATAATGGATGCTCTCAGCTCATGGCTGTGGCTAGAAGTTTTATTTGGAAAAAATATACATTTCAGCAATATTTACTACAGTAATTAAAAAAAAAGTATTACCTGAATTATCTAAAGGATTGCACTTTTCACCATATAACCATCGGCTATAATTTAAACAAAGAAGAAAAAAGAAACAATCAATGAACATCAGAGGTTAAAAGAGTAAAAAACATAAACCTTATTTTAATAACAATAGAAAGAAAGGTAAGCATAGCATTTTTTGGGTTGTTCATTAAAAATAAACTCAAATTATATTTGTTTTGATGTATGTCAGATATAAGAAAAAATTTGAAAACAAAGTGAAGGAAGTTTACAAACAACTTTAATGTTTTTAGCTTCCAATTTTCACTTGTTAAATGAGCAATTTAATTTTAAAATAAAAGCATTATTAGTCAGGAAGAATTGTTTCATATTGGTAAAGTGGAATTTTTAGTTTTGATATCGTAAAAATAAATTTGGAGGAATTAAACAAAAAATTTTGCATTGATTGTCATACGTTGAATTAAATACAGTGTCCAAAGTTGGCTTAGATTTTAGTATTGTTTTAATAAAATAAGATCTTATTATTTTATAACAAATACACGCAGTTATGGAATAATAATAATTAAGATTCAAAGTGTATGGTACCATTTGAAAGAGTAAGCAGTAACTATTTATTTCACAAAAATACAAGCTTCAAGATGAAAATCTATGAAATTAATTTTTTCAGTGTTCTTTGTATCATTAATATTTTTATCACTTCTTTAACAAAATTTAAAAAAAAAAATAATGACTTTCCTTTTTAGAAACTTTATGGCTCTATATTAAACAGTTGACACTAGAAGAAACTATTTTCTGATAAAATTATTAGTCCTGTAAGGGAGACTGGCAAAATGACTTTTTTTAAGAGTTTGTTGTATCATAACAATTTAGGCTACATGTCCACTAAAAATAAAAGATAGTTTTTAACTGTTAGTAGTGGAAAAAATATAACAAAGATGCAAAGTGCAAAGCACCATTTTGATGAAATACTTAAGTTGTAATAATCTATTGAAAGTAATAGATCCCATGAAGAAAAATTGTGAAGTGGATAATTTAATTATCGATTTTATAGTTATAACATCAGTAATTAAAAAAAAATTTGCCATTTCTGAAAAAAATTACAATTTAAATTCAAGATAATAGCACAATTTAAGATGTTTTGTCTTTATCTGAGGTCCTAACTTAACAGTTTAAGATTTCATATAAAATTCAAAAATTTATTTTCAAACAGATTTTTTGTAGGGGGCAGGGTAACATGAAATCTAGAAATACTAAAATGAAATTGAGAAGTTTGGACTAATCATTTAAATTATTTAACAAACTCATTTAAACTGAAAAAATTATAATAACTTTGTCTAAATGAGTCAAACCTTTAATTTATCAGGGCTCATTTTAAGTGAAATCAAACAAAATAAAAAAAATCTTGTTGCCATCATATCACAGATTTTCAAGAAAATTTTTTGTAGAAATGTTCCTGACAGAAAATAAAAATGACTGAAATAATTATTTCAGAATTTTGGACCATAACTAGTAACCATAGAACTCATAATGTTATTAACATGAAAAAAAAAATCAAAGGATATTTTTTTATCTTTAAAAAATAAAAAGTAGTTTTCAGTCAAAACATATTGAGATACTTTTACAGCCCTTTACTTGATCTCACTTTTACAGCATTATTTTAACTTGATCTCAATTTTTTTCCCACATTATGTTGAATGTCATATTTTTCAATATAAAAAAATTAAAAATTTAATTTTTGCTATAGGCAATGAAACAAATTAAAAAATTGTTTTCAGCCCAAATACTTTAAGATATTTTTATAGCACAAAAACAAACTTTCTGGACCTCAAATTTTTTTTTTTTCGTATCATGTTATTTATTATGTTTTTCAATAAATAAAAATTAAAAGTATATTTTCTGTTTTTGAGTTTAAAAAAATAAAAAGGGTTTTTTAGCTAAAATAATTAAAGCTTTTTTCAATAGCACAAAAACGAATTTTAGTGACCACACTTTTCCTCATAGTGTAAAATGTCTTTTTTTTTTCCTTACAAAACCTCAAGAGGCAGTTTCTTATTTTTAACCATGAAAGAAATAAAAAAATGTTTTTTCAGCCAAAACATTTCAAGATTTTTTTATGGCATGAAAACAAAATTTCTTGAACTTTTCAGCATAAAAGAACTCTAAAAAGTTTTTTTTGGTCTTTAAAATAAAAAGTGGCTCTTATCACAAATGTTAAAAATAATTTTTTTATGTGAAATAACAAGACAAAAAAAAAAACATTCTCTTGATATTTTTTATATTGAAATATATGATATTTAACATTGTGACAAAAAAAAATGTAGTCAAGAAACTTTGTTTTTGTGCTATAAAAAACACTTTAAGTATTTTTGCTAAAACAATGTTTAAGTTTCTTAAAAACCAAACACACTCTAGTGAATTTTTATATTGAAAAATATGACATTCAATAATATGAGGAAAAAAAATTGTGATCAAAACACTTTGTTTTCGCGCTGTAAAAATCTTGAAGTAAATTTTTCGAAAAATCATTTTTTTTTTTCATTGTTCAAAAACAAAACACATCTTCTTTTTTCATATTGAAAAAAAATATAGCATTTAACATTACAAGAAAAAAAAATTAGACCAAGAAACAGTTTTCGTGCTATAAAAAAAATCTGAAGTATTTTGCCTAAAACCCACTTTCTATTTGTTTTCAAAAACAGAAAACACCCTCTATTTATGTTGAAAAGTATGATATTTAACTATATGAAAAATTATAAGGTGGTGACAGTTGTTACTTCCCTGTAAAATATTCTCGAAAAAATTAGTGTAATAATAAAATGTTTTAAAAACTACATAAATATTTGCAGCATTTTAACAGCCTAATTACATAGTGTTAACTTTCTTCTTCCTATTGATGCCAAAATTAAGAAAATTGACTCATAAATAGAATTGGTTTATAACATATGAACTACAATTTGCAGTTGCACAATTTTCATGAATTGAGTCGAATTTCAAAATGGCTCTCTAATCGTAGCTTTGTTCCAGGAACACAATAAAAGTTTTAGTCCTAAAAATATTTTAGTTGTTCTTCATCAAGAGCTTTTCAACAAAACATTTTCACGAAAGTCTGTAACATGACGCCAATAAGATTTTTTTTTGGTACATATCACTTGAAATGAGCCATAAACATATATTATAATTATAACTGATAATAAAACAATTAATAATGAAAATAGTTTACTTTCTCCAACGTGTTACGTATATTGTATCACCAACAGAAAGGGGAATGCGATACTCATCACTACATGGGGGCGTTAAGCAGGTTTTTATTCCTTTTGAAATAGGAAACCATGATCCAGAATAATTTTTTATAATAGTATATTGCTTCTTTCTTGCCTTCTTGTCTTCTTTTTGAATTAGCTGCTCAATCTAAATAACATAGAGAACTATTATTAATTTCAAAATTTGTACAAGCATAAATATATACAGTGGAACCCGCTTAAAAAGTTCCCTTTTAAGAAGTTTTCCCGCGTAAGAAGTTATTTTTTAAAAAAACCAATTACCATAATGTTAAATTTACTTTTATAAGAAGTTTTTTTCCCGTTTAAGAAGTTTCCACTCCTAATTTCAATTTTTTAAAATTTTATTTAAAATGTCTTATTTAGTTTTAACTTGCCCTTACAAACACATGTATGGGTACTGACCACTGACCTTCATCACTCCTTTGTTACAAAGAAAGGTGACTTATCAGGAACAGGTGTGAGCAAAGGAATGTGAACCTTTAGATGAACTATGAAACTGATAAGAATGTAGGGAATAGCTTTGTCNACTGGTATTCACCAATGATGTTTTCTACATAGGGGCTAAGTCTGTTAAATAGAATTTTTGAAAAGACTTTATATGCAGTGCAGAGCATGCTGATACCCCGGTAGTTTGAACATTCAAGAATGTCTCCTTTTTTGTGTATAAGACAAACAGTGCTGTGTTTCCATTCTTCCGGGAGTATCTCTTTTTCCCATACTGATGTTAGAATATTATGTATGGCCTTTAACCCATCTGGTCCTGAGTTTTTTAAGAATTCTGGTGATATCAAATCTGGGCCAGGAGCCTTGTTGTTCTTAAGTTTTTGAACTGCTTCTTCAACCTCAATCATTGAAAGAGGTGCTATACACTCTTGGTTAACGTTTGGTGAACAGGACTCTGTCTGAACGCACTCTACATTAAGTAGGTTGTCGAAGTGTTCATTCCACCTATTAAAATGTCAGTTATATCGCTTAAAATATCTCCATCTTTATTTCTGCAAAGGTTAGTTTTAGGTTTGAACTCCTGACGACCAAAGTTAATGCCACGAAAGAAAGCTCTGCTCTCATTAGACCCTCGGAGATGTTCGACATCCTTAAAGAGGTCTTCGTGAAAAACCTTTTTTTTCAACCTATGAACTTTCTTTTCTTCTCTTCTTGCAGTTTTGTATTTCTCTACTGATGCTCTTGAGTGTTTTTTACTGAGCATCATATTATATGCATCGTTTTTTCTTTGGGTCGCGTTCCGACATTCTGTATCAAACCAATCCTTTTTCTCAGCTCTTTTTATTTTGCTTATTACATTATCACATGAGTCCAATAGGGCTTCTTTGAAAGAAGTTCACTTTCCATCAATGCAATCAATATTTCCGATTGCTTTTTCATTAAGCTTTATAGTTAGTTGTGACTGAAAGTCATCCCTGACTCTAGGGGTCTTTAATTGTTCGCAGTCAAATTTCTCAAGATGTTTCCCATGACATTTACGTGCATTAGATAGCTTGGCCTTGATCCTACTCATTACCATGTAATGGTCTGAGTCAAAGTTGGCCCCACAATAGGTTCTAATATCTTGTATGTCCATCACATGTCTAGAGTCTATCAATATATGGTCAATCCGGTTGGAGGTATCTCCATCTGGTGATCTCCAGGTCGTTTGGGGAATTCTCTTGTGTTGGAAAAAGGTGCTGGATATGACCATGCTATGTTCTGCAGTGAAGTGAATGAGCCTCTGTCCATTGTCATTTGTTGTTTCGTGCAGGCTGTATTTTCCAATAGTGGGCCTGTGCTCAGCTTCCTTTCCAATTTTAGCATTTAAGTCACCCAGAATAATTTTGATGTTGTTTTGTGGACAGGAGTTATATAAAGAATGCAGGTTCTCATAGAAAAGTTCTTTCTCATCATCATCCTTGACTTCAGTAAGTGCATGGGCATTTATAAGACTGTAATTAAAGAGTTTTCCTCTTAGCCTAATTTTACATAGCCTTGAAGACTTTGGCACGAAATCCATGACAAGATGCCGAATCTATTTGCCCACAACAAAACCTGTTCCAAAAATATGCCTCTTCTTATCACAGCTATAGAAGATTGTGTGATTTCTCTTCTCGATTATTCCATCGTTAAGCCACCTCATCTCTTGCAGAGCCATTACATCAGCCCTGTAATTATCCAGCTGTTCCGTTAAGAGTTGCAGCCCTTTGCTTTTATACAAAGAGCGAATGTTCAATGTTCCGATTCTCAGTTCCATGTAAGATTTGCCAGGTCGTCTTCTAAATTTCGGTCTGGATTCATTGACTTGAGACTTCGCAACAAGATTTTTTTACAGGGTAGGGTTGTTAGCCCTACGCCCAACCCCCAACTTAGAGGACCAGTCCCCTGATATAATCCCCAGGAGCAGGGTACCCGGCTATACCCCCGGACACTGGGTGCCCATTTTAGTCGCCTTCTACGACACGCATGAGCTACGTTGGGACTAGATTCTCACCCCCCGGTCACCACACGGGGCAGAGTTGAACATTGATAGTCTTAAATTCCGAGTTGGGTCAACTGTTTACCGTCGGATATAATTAAAAGTCTTTGTTGAAAAATAACTTTATCACATGAAAAGTTGTATATATATAGGGATATCAAAGTAATAAATTACTTTTAAAGATTCAGACATTTTTATTTAATTTAATTCAGAGCGAAAAATTCAAACTATGCACAGATATAGAAAGTTGAAAAATAAATTAATTAATTAACAAAAAGCAGGAAACGAGAGGAATTTTTTGACTCATGCAACTTTTAGAACATAATCAATGGATTCAAATAGAAAACTATTGCACTGTGTAATCTGGAATGGCTGCCCTTAGTATACATATTTTTAATTGTTAAAAGTCATTATTAAAGAAAAATTCTGCACAGTAGGCCACAAATTAATATTAAAGTGAAAAGGAATAAAAATGTTTTCAAAACCTGACTAATATAATTAAAGCTGGAAAATACAAGGAGAGAATTAAAATCATCAAAAAAAAAAAAAAAAAAAAAAAAAAAAAAAAAAAAAAAACACCNAGAATGCAGGTTCTCATAGAAAAGTTCTTTCTCGTCTTCATCCTTGTCTTCAGTAGGTGCGTGGGCATTTATAAGACTGTAATTAAAGAATTTTCCTCTTAGCCTAATTTTACATAACCTTGGAGACTTTGGCACGAAATCCACGACAAGATGACGAATGTGTTTGCCCACAACAAAACCCGTTCCAAAAAAATGCCTCTTCTTATCACAGCTATAGAAGATTGTGTGATTTCTCTTCTCGATTATTCCATCGTTAAGCCACCTCATCTCTTGCAGAGCCATTACATCAGCTCTGTAATTATCCAGCTGTTCCGTTAAGAGTTGCAGCCCTTTGCTTTTATACAAAGAGCGAATGTTCCAAGTTCCGATTCTCAGTTCCATGTAAGATTTGCCAGGTCGTCTTCTAAATTTCGGTCCGGAATCATTGACTTGAGACTTCGCAACAAGATTTTTTTACAGGGTAGGGTTGTTAGCCCTACGCCCAACCCCCAACCTGGAGGACCAGTCCCCTGATATAATCCCCAGGAGCAGGGTACCCGGCTATACCCCCGGACACTGGGTGCCCATTTTAGTCGCCTTCTACGACACGCATGAGCTACGTTGGGACTAGATTCTCACCCCCCGGTCACCACACGGGGCAGAGTTGAACATTGATAGTCTTAAATTCCGAGTTGGGTCAACTGTTTACCGTCGGTTATAAATTGAAAGTCTTTGTTGAAAAATAACTTTATCACATGAAAAGTTGGATATATATTGGGATAACAAAGTAATAAATTACTTTCAAAGATTCAGACATTTTTATTTAACTTAATTCAGAGCGAAAAATTCAAACTATGCACAGATATAGAAAGTTAAAAAATAAATTAATTAATTAACAAAAAGCAGGAAACGAGAGGAATTTTTTGACTCATGCAACTTTTAGAACATAATTAATGGATTCAAATATAAAATTATTACACTGTGTAATCTGGAATGGCTGCCCTTAGTATACATGTCTTTAATTGTTAAAAGCCATTATTAAAGAAAAATCCTGCACATTAGACCACAAATTAATATTAAAAAGAAAAAGAATAAAAATGTTTTCAAAAACCTGACTAATATAATTAAAGCTGGAAAATACATGGAGAGAATTAAAATCATCATAAAAAAAGAAAAAAAAGGTTTAACTTATTTAGAGACAGAAAAATATACTTTTAGTTAGTTCGAAACTACCTTTAAGCTTACCTTAAAATAAACTGATTTTAGATGATTTTAATACCTTCTTTGCTGTTATGTAATATAATGATTAGCATGAGTTTATAAATATTTTTGTTTTCCTTTACGTAAACATAGATTTCCATCCTTTAATGCTTTCACATTACATTTTTTATTGCATTTTTTACAAGGGTTCTATGACTATACAATGAAGGAGAAGACAATAAAATATTATCATCATCACTTTGGAGTTCGTGATATGAAATAAAATTTTTCATACCTTACAGTCTGAGCTTTTTGATAATAAAATTAAATAACAAATAATAATCAAAGATTTTTTTTCCTGGAAATTATCATTGCAAAGAAGTTTTATAAATAGAGAAGAAACACTGTTTGATTTTCATAATTAATTCATGAGATATAATGAAATAGATAGAAATATAATTAAGAACCTTAACTTTTGGCAGAGTTCCTGGCTAAACTATTTGTGCCATATTTTTCATAATTTGCACCTAACCCTTATATTTTGAGGGATAATAATCCATATCTGTTGAAAAAAGTATATTCAAAGAAAAAACATTTTTCGCCTGTCTCAACAAATTTAATGAGTTGCTTGTACCAATAAATTAGTCAGTAATAATAACCAAGAATGCATCTTCATATATTAAAATCTCATAATTAAATCAAAAGCTATGCAGGGTGATTATTTTTTTTCCAGCTTAGTAAGTTCAATGTAAAAATTGAAGACCTAAAGGTGGGAAAGCAATGAACCATTTACTTGTTTAGAGATAGGCAATTTTTGTTTTATCACCGATACTTCCTTGTTTCTTATGAAAATGAACCAAAACTGTGTTGCCCTTTTTGACAGACACTGGTGTTTTTCAAGCAGAATGAAATTTCTTTTTGAATTACCTATATACAGTAGAGAGATTGTTATAAATTGTGGGTTTTCACTTTTACCCCAAAGGTCTCCAATTCTTATAATACTGAAAATTAATAAAATTTAAACTTACAGTAAGGGTATAAGGATGACAGCCAGCAACAATAGGCCAGTCTGTTAAACCATTACCAAGTCGATCCCAAAAGACTTGTTTCAGATTTTTCCAATAACCCAAGTGATAAGGATAAATAAATTTTTCATCTTCATGGCGTGGTCGACAAACAGCCTAAATACAAAGTTATTCGAACAGTAAGATAAAAATACTTTAAAATTTGATAAAGCATTATTTATTTAAAATAATGAGTTTTCGTAGAAACTCTCTCCAGTGTTTTCGAAAATTTCATCAAAGTATTCATTGCTTTGGGGTAGACTTAACTGGCTTTCTTTTCTAGATGAGATTTATACTCATGGATTCTAAATAACTGTCTTAAGTAAAAATTTTCGGAACACTAGAGAAAGTCAACATACCACGGCTCTGATTCTGGGTTTTTTGTTCACTTATTTTTTTTTATTTTTATTGTACAATTCTTATTATTAGTTTTACTCTGTCCAAGAAGGGCATGAAATTTTGATTTCACAACAGCTGTTTGAATACAGTAAATAAGTATTTTAGCAATTCATTGCTTAAAGTCATTTAAGAAAATTAATACACCATAAATTTTACAAAAAACCAACAAATTTTTTTTCTACTTTTATTAGAACTAAACTGGTAAATAAAAACTTTCACTGATAAAACTATAAAATTATTTCACATTTATCTGAATTATTTGATCAATTAAATGCAACTATTCAATGCTTTGCTTAGTGATTTGACACACATGCTACTGAGAATAATCAATTTCGGATGAAATTTTTAAACTTAAAATTAAATCAAATTCATTAAAAATCAACATATGAATGCAGATGATTATGTAATTATAAATATGTATAGAAATAATTAAATACACATGACTCACTTTAGTTACAATCCAATTTTCAATACTAGTTTCATTCTTAAATATTTGTTTCATCTAAAAGAAAAGTAAAAAATTAGACCATTTTACCGTTCAGCGATGAAGAAATATAAAACAACATTCGGAAAAAAAAATGTATTGTTTAAAAGCTATGTCAAATTTATAATTTAAAATAATTTTATTTTTTATAATTTAATAAGCCAATTTTTTATCGAGCATTTCTCAATCATTTTTAAACAATTTTAGAACATTTTCTGAAATTGAAGTCATAAGAATATTCACAAAAAATTAATAAAATATTTAAGCAAAGAGAAAAATTATTAAATTAAAATCTGATAAATATACAGGTGCAATTACAGAAAACCATTTCGCCTGATGAAAATAAAAATGCAATACCAATAATTATTTCACTCTACCAAACAGAAATAGGTTTTAGTTAAATAAATATATATATATTATATTATATATATATGTGGAGAAATAAAATAAGAGATTTTACTAGTGACATTTTTTAGGCAAACACATAAAGTTTTGATTCATCATGCATAATCATGTAAGTATTTAAAACTATTTCATAATCATTGATAAAGAGCTGATCCAGTTTTGGGTTTACGGCTACTAATGTTCAACTCCGTAGCCTTGAAATTTTGAACTTAATCCAGAAGACAAAGGAATTCCTTGATCAATCAAGTATTGGGAGAAATTTGCCTTCGTGGAGGACTTTTTGATGGAATTAACCTGCATTTGCGTAACACCGAGAGAAAAACCACGAAAACGTCCCACCGATAGCTTGTTTGTAAGGGGAGATTTTAATTATTAACTCTAAACATAGCGCAGTACTGGCAATCGCACTATCTGTTGAGTAAGAAGAGAAGTATACTTGCCATCAGTGGATATTTCATTAACAATTTTTTTTTTAAAAATTTCTTCAACAAATAAGGAGAAATTTGAGAATATACATGTAAACAGGAGATAGTCGTAAAATACGGGATTCTTCGTTAAAAAACAGGAGACTTGGCAAGTATGCATATATATAAGGACTTCAATAATAATGTCTCTCATAGTCTTATAAAGTTTTCATGATAATGTATTTGATCCATAATGAGTAGGTTATGACTCAATTTTTGATAAAAGCTCTAAAAATGTACACTTTATGGCACTTGACAACAAAATTCTCTCTACATAAATTATAATTAGAAATATAAATAATTTAATTCACATATGTCAGAATAGGAATATCTTTATGATAAGTTCATGATCGAAAAGAAATAATGAAAAAAAAATGAGAATCAAGCAGACTGGTACACAAACAACCCATTATAAACTATATACGAACTATAAACTACAAATATGTTACACAAACAAACAATAATAAAAAATTCAAACTATCTTTACATTTTCTTGCATAACTTTCATTTTAAATAAGCTTAGTTTAATACTAAAAAGAGGTGTTCCAAAAGTAAAACTTTTCTTTTTAGTTTTGCATAAAACAGATAAAAATTATATTTTTAAAATATCTTTTTCAGGATTTACGTTTGAAATTTATTTCCATATATTGTAGTCACCTTATGCACATTACATTTTAAAAGAGAAATGCTGAAATGGTAATCAGTCTTCAGCATACAATGAGTAGTTGTACTTTCATTTAAAAGTTACATTTATTTTCTTTTATATCTTAACTTTGATTTATCGATTCGTGTAAAAAAGTATCACTAGTTACAATGTAAATATGGAGAACAACCTCTTCTTTTCTTTTCCAACTTTTTCTATTGATTTTTTTTAACAAAATTTTGATACTCACTAATTTAAATATTGTATTAGCTAATTCAATTTGGCTACACATTTCTTTCTCTTGTAAGGCTCTATAAACACAAGCCAAAATAATAAACATGTAACCATACTAAGTCTGAACAAAATAAATGTAATACTAATATATTCAGTATGTAGTGTGTCTACCACTACAAAAATACAATTTCAATTCACTAGTAAATAAGACATGTTAACTGGATTCAATGTTGGGGTACCTTTTCATACACGAAGGTTAACATGGTCGAAAACAACTATCCCCACATTAGTGTCCTTCGGACGTGATGTGAACATGCCTACCTTGACAGAATCTCTCACTTTGAAATGAACACGCCTATCTTAACAGTAATGCCCACTTCAATTTGAACAGTCCTACTAAGATGGATGGTCCACAATGAACAGTTGACTTGCTACTTGTGACTGTGACATTATCCACATCCTTGAGCTGTTGCTTCTCAGTCTCGATCACACATAACTTACATATACACTCGTCTGCTAAAGCACTTGTACATAACACAAAAGCGACCATGACAGTGAACTTAATACAGCTCTCCCGGCTTCTCACTATCAGCAATGAATCAACTAGTGGTTCATTGAATTCTATCACACATATAATTCGGGTAGGGGAGTACTCTAGGGTGTCTACCACTAAAAGAATACAATTCCAATTTCCTAGTATATAAGACATGTTAACTCGATTCTATGTTGGGGTACCTTTTCATAGATGAAGGAAGGTTGACATGGTCGATAACAACTCTCCCTACAAGTATTTTAGTTTTACAAAAGAAATCTGAAATCTGACTCAATAACTAAATTTTTAAAATCAATATCCAAAAGTATAACTAATAATTCAAAACTTGCAATATACAAAACCTAGTATTATAAGAATGTGTAGTTTATTATATTAGAGAATGATAAAGCAAAATCAGTGTATTCTTTGGTAAGCCATGTGCAAGATTTAAAAACTCTACTTTTTAAGAATGCCCCTTTAGTTTTATCTTCAAATAAATAAAAATGAAGTAAACAAATTTCCTTATGCCACACTAACAAAAGTATTACAAAGTTTATGCTTATAATTATCAGGTAGCTATAAGAAGTACTTAAAAAAATAACTGTAATTTAAACTGAATTTAAGATTCCAAAAGTTTAGATTACAGATTATACTGCATTAAGGAATCACATTTGAAATTGTTTTCCGTGCTTAAAATTAAACAGTTAGGAGAATTTTAATTTTTCAATTACTTTTTTCTTAATAACACAAAGAGATATAACAAAATGGCTAGGAATAGATATGCAAAACCAAGAAAAATAAATAGATAAAAGCAATTACCTGGACATAAAATAGACCACCAACTGCTAGAACAACACCTAGAGCTAATCCAAGACTAAATACAGTGAAGCCTAACTGATATATTGTAAGATAAACAACATATCTTCTATCTCCATGTAAAAAGTACCAGTTCTGAAAGAAGCAATAAAAATAAAACCATTAAAGAGTTTATAAAAACATGAGTTCTATAACTGCTCACAAAATTTTTTCAAACAAACCAAAACCTAACTTCAAACTTCTAATTAAAAAAATCAAAAAAATATTATTTATTTTAATATTTAATATTTCTTTTGAGCATCAAGAATATAATGACAATTTAACAGGTTTTCTTTTTAACTGATTTAATTCAGCATTTTAAATGATTATATTAATTTCAATAAGATATTAATTAATAATTTATTAATTTAATAAGATATATATTCATTTTCATTTATATTCATTTTATACATTAATATTCTTTATCTACTTATTTAGTAAAAAACCATGTTCTCCAAATATAGAAAAAAGAAAAAGATATCTTAAAGGCCAAGTGTTATCAATATAGTTGTAGCGTATCTACCACTACAAAATTACAACTACAATTCACTAGTATATAAGACATGTTAACTCGACTCTATGTCAGGGTACCTTTTCATAGATGAAGGTTGACATGATCTGTAACTACTCTCCCCACATTGGTGACCTTCGGACATGATGTGAACACGCCTACCTTGGTAAAAACGCCCACTTTGATCTGGATACGCCTACATCGGCAGTAACGCCTACTTCGTTGGATGGTCCACATTGAACAGTTGACTTGCTACTTGTGACTGCATCATTATCCACCTCCTCACGCAGTTGCTACTCAGTCTCATCTCGATCACACACAACGTTGGCTTGCATACACTCGACTGCTAACGGCAACACAGGAGCGACTACAACCGTGAAGTTAATACACCTCTCACATTCAGCACTCAAAAAAATACGGTGATCTTAATACAGCTCTCCCGGCTTCGCACAAAACAGCAATGAATCAACTAGTGGCATCCATTCATCGAATTCTATCATAGCTATAATTCTGGTGGGGGAGTACTGTAGCGTATCTACCACTACAAAATTACAACTACAATTCACTAGTATATAAGACATGTTAACTCGACTCTATGTCGGGGTACCTTTTCATAGATGAAGGTTGACATGATCTGTAACTACTCTCCCCACATAGTTAAGGAATAAAAAATTTAGGAATATGGTTATATTTGGAGGTTGTCCCTGAAAGAGTATAAATTACTGAATAGAATAGGTTTGTCGATGTATTTTTCTTTCGTATTTGCCATTTTCACTAATATGCATTTAAATGTTTTAATTTTTATACAACTTAACTATTTTCATGTGGGATTGGAAAGCATGGGAATTATCTACAGACAATTAGAGAGTTTCCAGTAAGAGATGGTAGCGGTGGTTTTATGACCTGTTATATTTTTGGAGATCTAGAATTCTCTTTGTTCTCACTAATGACTTAAATTTAGGGGAAGAATACTTAATATTGTAGGTTAATAAATCAACAAATAGAGCCAGACCAAAGTTTCTTGGAGACAAGGAAAAGCAGTGATGAGTAATTGAAAAATGGTTTTCAAAAAAGTAAGATGCTGTGGGAATGCTTAAAAAGTGAAAGATGATGTTCAGTGTACAACTATTTATGAAGTTTTAAAGATATACAGAATGTTATTACATGTGATATTTAAAAAAAATAAAAATTGCGAACAATAAATTTTGTTAAAATAGAACATGTGAAGACTCTCTACCAAAGAATCTATATTTATAAAGGGGAAGAAGTCTAGCATCCATTGATGTAATGTAAACCAGTTCTCCAAGGTCAGGTGCGGTCCTTGTGTATAAAGGGGCACAACAGCAAAGATTCTTGAAAGGGGTTTGCATCCTCATCTCCTTCTAATCAATACTGGGGTTGGGGTGAAGAAGAAAAGTTCTCCTTTTTAATTGTTGGTTTGTTCTACATTTTTACACGATTGATAAACAGTACTGTATTATTAATTAAGATATTTCTTTGAGAATACATTTATACCATTCTCATTAATTAAATCTGCAAACACATTTTAGCATAGGAAAAAAGAATAAAACGGGGGTTGCTGAGAAGCAACCAACCCAATCCTGCAAATCTGTCCAACAACTGGTTCACAGGTGATGTACCTCCTGACTGTCACTTTACATCTTATGCACATGCGCTGGATCATAGTTCAACTAAATCTGAGTATGCTGCTCAACCTGTAAGTTGTTTTTCTAGTATAGCATACCAAACCGAGCAGTTCCTTGCGTTAGTTACGTATTCGAAGAGCTGGACTTCTTTTCCTTTCTATATACTTTGTTTCTACAGGGTGCATAGCCAAATCTTTCGACAAAATAATAAGCTATACAGATAATAATAACGACCTATACAGAATAATTTTAAGTAGGAACTTAATAATTATACATAATGCTTTATTTAAAAAAATTTTTGAAAAGTTTCCATAGTAAATGTCAAGAAGGTTGGAGGCTTAAAGTGATAAAATAATACAGTTACTATCAAGAAATTGAGTGAGAGATTATTTTTTACAATAAGGGTAAAATTAAAATTTTTTCAAATGAAAATTAAAAATCATAACTTACCACCTGAAAAGCACGATATAAACCAAGAAAAAGAAGAACCGATGACAAAACACAGCCACATACTGCAGAAATGAGGAATAATGTGAATGTTTTATGATTGCGATGACCACAGCAATTGTTGATCCACGGACAATGATGATCCATTTTCATCACACACCTGGAAGACAGAATAACGTTATTTAAAATTTAAAAAATGGGCTTCAGACTGCTTTATTTGTAAAAAAATATATTCAACTTTTTTTTTCACGAACAACACAGAGAAAAATGAAATATTCACTTAATCTTTTTCAATTAAATGAGCTGATATAATAAATAAGTACATAAAAAGTACAGGTTGGTGTGATAAAAAAAGGTTGCTTTATGAAGAGAGGTTAAATAAAAGATAGAAAAAATTTACTTTTTTAAAAGTATGCTATAAGATTATATTTATTAAGATTTCAATGTGTTAAAGAAATTGTAAGCATATAATATTTCATTGAAATGAAATTTTTAAATGCATCATATACATTTTCTTAGTTATTTTTCTTTTTATTCCATATTAGTTTTTCTAATTTCAACCCCATGTCAATTGTGAGATTTTTGATATACTTTATAACTTTTCTGGGAATATTTATAAAATTGTATATTAGAAGCATGATAAAAGTGAAGCAATAATATGTTAAATCATAATTTCACAATACAGTCACATGATAGAAAATCACAAATCCTGGTAGGTATTCACATGATTTAAAATCATAAAACAAGATTCCTATTTACACGATTTAAGATCACATATAATGTTTGTATTTTCATGATTTTACATCAATTGCCTTTTGCAGTCTTGCGATTTAAAAGCCACTATTATGATTTGTGTTCGAATGACTTAAAAATTATCCAACGGAATTTGTATACAAGCAATTTAAGTCACTATTAGAGATAATGAATTAATGAAATTTTAAAATCAAATTAATGAAATTTTAAAATCAAACATCAAGAAATAAGTGGGATTAAAAAACTACACTTCGAGATTCACACGCTCATAATTTAAATGCATAATTAAAATCTCACATAAATAATTTTATTAAAAAATTCATAACATTCTGTTCCTAAATCCCTCCTACATACACTTTTTTCTTGATCAAATTTCAGGTATTTTTTCAATTATTTGAAAAGTGTTTTCATACATAATATTTTTGGATTTCTATTTTAAATTTTTTTTGTGTGTTTGTCCAAACTCACCTCTATAGTATGAATCAATATATTTTTTATGCAATTTTATACAATACAATACAATTTTTATTATCAATTATACAAAAATTATAACATTTTTTAAAAAAAATCTGTGATTTTCAAACAAATTTCAACAAAATCAGGTGGCCAAAAAAGGGTTGAATCTAGTTAGAAGAGTTAATCAATTGCTTGCAGAAAGTTTTATAATTCAGATTTTATGTTCGAAGTAAGTTTTGCATTTTATCTAAGTCTAGATTGGAGATACTCACATATGAAATGTGCATGGTACTTCTTATTAACTAAATAGCTCTAAGAATTAGAGCATTCTTTTATTAAATTTATCAACATTTCAATAGCATGTATAATATACTTCTCAAATTCTGGACAGCCAATACCATAGCTGCCAACCTTAGGAATAAAAAATTAGGAACACTATTTGCGACAAAATAATACGCAAAAATTACGAGAGTAAGACCAAAATTTAGCTATTAAATAATAACATTAATATTTAAATACCGTATGTAAATTAGTAAAACAAAACTAGAAACACTATCTTTTGTGGGAAATTAATAATATTAATATTTTATAATTAGGAATACCAGTATAATAATTGAAAAACAACCATTACCTATTATTATATAACTAGGAGGCTCGCTTTGCTCGCTCATTGGATACGTTCTTAACGTCTAGCTTTTGTATACTTTTTTGAACACTGAAGTTCTGAAAACTTTTCACTGTAGAAATTTCTAAACCTGTGTATTTCAATATTAATTTAAAATTGCAAACAGTTCACATATTTTTCTTAATCACACTATTCTAAATTTCAGTTGTTGAGAAAAATAACTGTTGTAAGTTTTGTTTTAAAGTCTCTCCCACCAGAGGGCTAAAACCATGCGTTGTAAAACAATATCAAATAGTACTGAACGCCGGATGTAAAGCATCGGCTTCGATGAAGATAATTTTGTGAGAATTTTTTTGATAATTCGGTGAGAATTCACCCGATTAGACATATGATATGCTCACTACATGCTCTTGCGTGGCGAAGCCTATCAATTAAAACGTATTAGCGTTTTATGTAATATAGATTAGTCATATGACGCTCACTACGCGCTCTTGCGCACCGAAGCGTATCAATTAAAAATGAAAACTGTTGCCAACGCGAGAAAAGAAATATCATCGGTTTTATTGATACATACATATTAGCGTTTTATATAATATAGATTCTTCTCAAAATTATAAAACACAGGTAAATAATAATCTACATCATGAACAAATATTTCTGATGCAAGTGTTATAATAGTGCAATAAATTTTTTAAAAAATAATAATAGTTGTTAAGATTCATCTTAGTGAAATGATCAGCAACAGCTATAGTATTGGAATAGTATTTTCTAATAAAAAGCTACTAAAAATTACTTCAGCACAATAAACACAGGAAATGCGGTTGTGGCGATCAGAATAAGGGATTGGTTTAAGAGCAAATATACTGCAATTTTATAAAAATTCAGATTTTTTATAAAAATATCAGATTTTTCAGATTTGATTTAAAAATTAGGAACAAATCCAAAAAATTCAGAACAGTTGGCAGCTATGCAATGCCTATTCTCAAGTGCTATTTAAATCAGAATGCCACTAAAAATGATAACCTGATGCACTAAAATGATGTGCAACACTTCAAAATTAAAACCTGAACATTTTGAAATTAACACATCGTAGTAGATAGATTGGAAAGAAAAAGAACAGGACCATTCATTGCCTATAAAAAAAAACAAAAAACAATGAAGTGAATCAAGGTCAAATTTATACTAGACAATCAAATTTAGACTTGGAATAAATATAAAAGGAAAGTTTTGTGCATTTCTTCACAATTAGTATGTAAGTCCACTACTATTTAAAATAAATGGGGAATTCCTTGCAGAAAAATACATTTCCTTCAAATAAATGTCTTGTCAGATTTAATTCAATAGGTAGCTTTTCTCAAGGAAGATTAAATTTGACTAATATAAAAACATTCTTCAGAATTTTAATTTTTAGCTTAATTTTTGCAAGAAAAAAATATTATAGCAGAAAACTTAAAACAAAATATTACAATCATACCAAAAGAATTTTGGTTAAAATTATGAGACTATTTAAAAGGGAGAAATAATTTCACAAAAATATCAAGGACAAATTAAAAGTGACTAACTTAGAAATAAAAGAAGACAAGTTCCTAACCTTTTACATTTACGACAATGATGAGCTCTTGGTGCTTTGTATCCTTTGCATAAAGAGCAAAACTGGAGGTAGTTACACTCATTAGTATCTGCCTATATTTAAAAAAATAAATATTACATACACTAAGATATGACAAAAACAAACAATTATGCATCCAATTCTTATAAATTAAATACATACTAATGATAGCTATGAAATTTCAAAAATAAAGGTTGCAGTATCATATAACAGTCAAAATAATTTGGAATCACAATTACAGGTAATTGATTATATAAATCACCATTACAACAGCAATCAAAATTATAGTGCATTGCTATCACGATTACAAATAAATGATTATTGTAATTGACTATTGAAATCACAATTGCAGCTGTAATCAAAGTTTTAATTATGATGACAGGTAATTGATTGTTGTAATCTCGATTACAACAGTAATAAAAACTATATGTTGTAATCATGGTTACAAGTAACTGATTACAGTAATCTAAAAATGTAATTGATTATATTTTTGCCCAAGTCTACTAAACAGAAACATCCTTACTTTGTTTTTTAAATTATTAAATCAAAGAGAGACATGAGAATGCAGCGTTCTCTTTAAGCGTTTTTAGAATGGCAGCCTACCTTACCTGCCCATTGATCTTATAAATACACCCTCCTTGCTCTTTTTGTAAAACTAAGCTGCCGTCCCTTAAAAACACTGCTTTCTTATTTTATTTTTTCAGATAAGGTTGTTTTCTTAACCATCTGTTTTAATGAAAAGTCCACTTCTGATTTATTTAGTTACTGATAATTATTTACTTTAATTTCTTAATTTTAGTTATCTTATGTTGTCTTGGTATATAGTTAAAATTTGAATGATATTTGGCCACAGAGATATTCAAATCTTTTATTTGGGAGGTATATTGAGTTTTTCTTTTTAGTAATTTTAAATTTTACCATTACTTTTTTTTAACAAATACCTTTTAATTTAAAAATACACATTTGAATGTTTATTTTCAGTTTAAAATATAAACAGCTTTCAAAATGTTAATCAATCAATCCTTTTTTTTAAAGTTTACTTTAAAAAAAAAAATTTAAACACAGAGATTGTCTTTTAGCTTGCCTTCAATTATTCTTCAGAAGTTTTAAATTTTTTGGTTATTTTGATACTGAATGAGAATTACTTAGTAAAGTATACACATTAAAGATAAGATTTCCGTATTGTGATTTGCGGCAGAGTAATCGTCAAGTCTTAGCTACTTCAGGGCAGTAGTGGCCAGTGAGAAACTAAAAAAAAACATCACAGAAAGGGACCAACTCGAAAGGTATAACTTGTAGCCCACTCTGGGGCAAACATCTACATGTTTTTTTTAAAAAAAAAAAAAAAACGTTTGAAAGTTTAAAATCTATTTGGCTCCTTGGCGATTGTAGTTGGTGTGACAGATCACGATACGGAAATATGGTCAGTCCTCACATTTAAGAGAATAGAAGGATAATTTTAAAAATTGAGGATCAAATCAACTGTAGAACTCTGGAGAATGGATTAATGAAAATTAGGATGGAAGGGTGATTAAATTTTCTTAATTCTTGCCCCTGTCGTACAAGAATAAAATGTAAGTAACTAGCAAATAAAGTACACTTACTGGAGTCCAACCGAAAGGAACGTAGCCAGGACCAATGAACATGGCACAGAAAAAATTGTACAAAGTGCTTCCAACAAGAAATAAAAATAAACTGTGACACACTGCAGCATTTAATGAAGAAAAGAAGGGAAGCCACATAGCAGTTACTTGAAGCGTTGAAAACGTAATACAGTTTATTATTATCATAGCAATCATAGGCCCCCAATGGCAAATTCGGTTAAAAAGTTCTCGAATTATCATTTTAATGTGAATAAAATTTAAAACTTTAAAAAAGGCAATGAATATAATTAGAATCGTTAGAAAATTGAAGGTCAAAAGCTTAATTAACTTTGAGAAGTTTAAATAAAGATGTCATCACGGAAGTATAAATAAAAAGATTAGGTCATGATAATTTAAATTCTATATGATCAAAAAAATGAGAAGAAATTGAAAACAAATTTAAACGTAGACTATTATGCGTAATTAATGAATATTTACTCCGGGAAATAAGTTTTAAAATTATAATCATAGGTAAGTTATTTCTTAAAACATCAGATCAGAAACTTTGTCTGCTCTAGTCTACTCGTAAAATGGAACGATGTAAACAAAAGTGAAACTAAATTTGCAGTTACAGTTAGTTATTATTAAGAAAAAAAGCGGCAAGCATGGTCAGCCTACCAGCGTATAATTAAGGCCTATTTGCACTAGCAATGTGTGTAAGTGGCCACTAATTGCTTTCATATTTGGGATCACTTCGATTTAAACTTTTTGTCCCGCAGTGGACTGATCGTCAAGACACGGTTCTCATCAGATCACCGAAGTCAAGCATCACTGGCTGCGGTCAGTGTGCGGGTGGGTGACCCACTTGGATCAGTCTGCGTAGGGACCGAGGGTGTGCGGTATTGGTCCTCGTTAAACTGTGCTACCGTAAAGTGCTCGACTTCGCGCGCAGGTCGTCGGGCTACCGAAGCGGGGGTGCCATCCCTTCCGCAGAGGATCAAAATTGTGATGGCATGTCTTCGGATCATCCTCCGGGATGTTTCCCAGACCGTCGCCAATAGCCCATTGTGCAGCTCTAGTGCGACGTAAATTAACAACAACAACAACATTTAAACTTTTTAAAAAAAAATTATTACTGGGATTCTATCGGGATATCTACACCCCAACCCTATCCTAGTTCATAGCCCTATTTTCAAGACTCTATTATTTGTCAACTAAGGGGAGAATGATCCATAATTTTGACTTCAGTGAAACTAAGCACAGAGCCTTATAGGTGCTTTACTGTAGAACAGTTTAACGAGAGCCTCTACTATGCACCATCGGTCCTTTCTCAGGCTGATCAAATTGGACACCCACCCATTCACTGACCGCGGCCAGTGATACTTGGCTTCGGTAATCTCCTCACAGTGAGCGACGCTTTTACAGACTACACAACCGGAGCATTGCAAGATGTCCACATGGATAACCCAACTATGAATAAGTACCTAGCCCGTTTTTTATCTAGATAGGTAGGTACATTCATTTATGTAGGACTAAAGCTGCACAATGGGCTCTTGGTGATGGTCTGGGAAACATATCTGAAGATGATCTGAAGACAACAGACGTACTTCACATCTCGTTTTACAGGGAGGACGATTCACACACCATCCATCCATTCACAGATCATCGTAATTTAGACCTAAATCAGAGAACTATCAATCTCCTACCAAGTACCCCCAGACGCATTGATTTGTAATAGAAACTTGGAGGACTTCGTAGCCCCGACATATTTAGCTTGCACCAATCATTATTTTGTACATGGGGAGCCTCCGGCAGGTTGGGATCGAATTCACGACTTCTCGGACATGGGCCCTATATCCTACAGTCAGGCTATCCCACCTCCCTGTTTTCTTAGGATTTTATGTTTTAGAAGCTGTTGTAGGAATGCCCCGTTATATAAACCGTAGGCAACGCCAGAGCTGGAATTCCTCTTTTATTTTATCTTTTATGCCAAAAAAACCTACGAGAGTTTCTTGCTCCGTATACCCCGTATGTTTACTCAGATTCTAGTATCGAACTCATAATCCCTGAATCTATATCAGTGGAGTGAGTAGCGCCTTTTCCTGGGTCCTCGTCCCGTCAGATGGGCAACGTCTTTTAGACGGCCAACAGCCGTGCGGTTCGTAGAAGGCAGATGGGGGCCCCTGAGTGATGCGAATCAAGGTGAGATTCGATCGCAAGAGAAGGGGACTCAGGTGACTTGAGGACGATCTTCACCACACCCAGAGAGACACACGATGTCCGCACGGAACGGCGAGTATGTTGATAGCCGGCGGGGAAGTTGGAGCGCATTCCCCCCAGCCTCGTTTCGTCTCGTCCACCACCCCAGCCCTCGTTTGCGTAAGGAAACCTTCCAGCTCGCAGGAGTACAGTCGTTTCGGTCCGAAGCGGACCTTCGGTCCGACGTGACCAATTTTCCAAGTCTACGTTGGACCAAAAGGGGATGCCTGTGCAAACGGGGTCGAAAAGTCCCCTAGAGCCTCGTGCTCTAAACGATTGGCGGGAGTGAGCGCAGGGGAGTACCGGGCGAACAGCCAAGGGATAGCCCCGCGTTTGAACCCCCCCGACTCGGGTGGGCGGGTCCGGCAATTGAAAGTCGATAAAGCCGGCTTTGATTTTGCCGGGTCCGTTTCCGCGGCTGCGTGTGGAGCGTGGTTGTAGTCGACCAAGGGTGCTGACGCACCCTTGAAAACGGGCAGCGACCCTAGTAGTGCGGCGATAGGGCTAAAACCCATGCGGCTGGTCGCTCTCGAATTTTTATTGTCCTTTACTGTGTCACAGGAGTACTTACGTGAAAACCACATGAAAGACTGTATGTGATATCAAGAAAGGAAGACAACCATATTGATTTAATAATTAATCTACTTTAACGGGTGAATGAATTTCATGCTCTAAAAGAACACTCATAGCTATGGATTTACTATCATTTTGAAGAATGCTTTCAGCAGTGATTTGCATAATTCACGGAAATTTTATTCCTGACTAAATTTAGTCAGAATAAATTTATTTTGAATGATTATTCATATGCAGAAAAAAGCAATGAAAAATGAAAAAAATGAATAAATATGACAACCGAAGCTGACGTCTTCAGATGGTAGTAGCTCTGGAAGCCATAATAGCAAAACTTTTTCCATCGAGAGAGAACGACAAATGTCTAACTTGCTTTCTCTGTACCTCAAAGGCTTTGCCAAAGTTCAGTAAGAGAATACAAAATACTACATAACGCAAGCACAAAAGTATAAAATCAAGACAAATACATAAGAATAATACATACAAAAACTTACTCGAAACATAAATAACATAAATCCAATAATTCGGTTATTGGATTTATGTTTCTAGTAAGTTTTTGTGAGTATTATTCTTATGTATTTGTCTTGATTTTATACCTTTGTATTTGCTTTACGTATTTTATATTTTGTATTGTATTCTCTTCCTGGATTTTGGCAAAACCTTTGGGGTACAGAGAGAGCAAAATCGACATTTTTCGTGCTCTCTCGATAGAAAAAGGTTTGCAATTATGGCTTCCGGAGCTGGTAGCCCCTGAAGAGGTCAGTTTCTGTTGTCATATTTTTTCATTTTTCATTGTTTTTTTTTGTTTCAATTCTTTTTGGATTTTCAGCTGCATAGCACGTTTTTCCACTGGAAGTATTGTTTATAATTGCTTTTAATTATTTTGAATTTTTTTCTTAATATTCATATGCAGATTTAGTCATTATTCATAATTCATTATGCAAATTTTTGAATAATGATTGATGACTCATTTTCTTATCGTTTTCAAAAGCAAACGATAATCTTATTTTAAATTCCTAAATATTATTTCAAGTTAAAAAATTAAACGCTTTTTTGTCATATAAGTATTTCTCTGAACTATGCATTATGTTATTTAGAAGTAAATTTAAAGCCTCAAAAATCTTATAAAAATAAGATTTCTACTCAAATATTTTTAAAATGATATAAAACAAATAAATCGATAAAATGATATAAAACAAATAATTTCAAATATCGTTTGATTTAGTCATTTAAATTGTTTGAGTCATTATTAGTGGTCCTTATAAGTAAAGTCTTGAAATTTAGATAACTTACATAAATTGTATATATTGTATTGTAAATATATTTGGGTATACATATATTGTACATATCTACATACATTGAACAAACCTGCTTGCACATATGTATAAAACATGTATGTCCAATATATGTATGAACATATGTATAATATATATATGCACTTAATTACAATAAATGCAAGTCAAATGTATGTAGATGCATGTGTACAATGTATGCACATTCGAATGTATGAGGTACAATATATGTATACCCAGTGTATGCATAATTGTACACACAAAAATTGTGCATACGTGAATGCATCCATTAAAATAGTAATCACGATTACAAGTAATTGACTACACAGCTGTAATTGCGTGTAATCGACGGCCAACTCTTTTATGTACATATAAATGGAGGTACGTTGTATGAGCCAACTAAGGTATATACATTGCTATTACATAGCGCATACGTAAGTACATTGTGTGAACATACGTATTGTATCTATACATTTGTACGTGTTTTGCATGTACACATACATACGTACGTACATATATGCATGTATATGTACGTGCGTACGCATATTTTTACATGCACACATATGCATTTTGTGTGTATACGTACATTATGTATATAAGTACATTGTATGTGAATCTGTACATACATACGTACGTTTGCTTAAATAATGCTTGATAAATTGCATGCATATGTGCATACAGACATACATTGTATGTACTACTTATGTATAGAGACGTACACATAATTATACAATGTGCTTGCACTTTTAGATACAATGCACGTAAGTCCGATTATACTATGTGATAACTATATTTGTAAACATTAAACTTTTTTTGCTTATTCATGCAAGCATTCATATACAGATTTCGCTTGTATACATGTGCGCATAAACATGCAGCGTAGCAAAGTGTGTATGCATGTACAACATATTTATGTATTCGTGCAGTAACTATTTTTACAATTATTCTTATTCGAGATTACTTGTATTCGTTAAATCACAATTGCTGGTAAAAATAACTGCTTATAATTGTACATATTGATAACGTTGATTGCTTAAAATAAGAGATTTGGGCCATTTGTAGAAAGCTATCGCATCTTGTTGTGATTACAGGTAATCGTAATCACTTTTTGTCTGAAATCGTTTCTTGTGTAACTTATAAAAATGATTACATGTAGTTTATTAACATGTACTTTTTATTTGTAGCTGTCACAATGGTGATCAATAAGAGTATTCCGTGCCCATTTTTGCTGAGCAATAAAATTATTCATTTATTCTTGTCTAATGAATAATGATTGAGAATAATGAATGATTTATTCTTTATTCAAAATATTTCTGACTAATGAATAAATCTTTATTAATTATTCAGGAAGATTTTGAATGATTATTCATTATTCTTAATGACCAATGCCCATTTCTGGCTTTAAGGACCATTCCTATTGGATGCGATTTTCTCACAATTACGAAAGATACAATTTTTGCTTTTTCCTGGATGAGGAAAGAAGGTGTGGAA